TATGAACCTGAACTGGTTTCCTCATACTCTGGGTTCAAGTACCTCTCACTGAAATCTAAATGATTTGTAACATGAAATCAGGAAAGGAAAAGATTACAGATGATGGCGAGAGAAAACTGAGGCATCATCTGGGTGGGCAGGGACAGAATCCTGGGCACCGAGTGAGAGGTGGCCTCAGAAAGCAGCACCTCCTCCATAGAGCTGCAAAAGGGAGAAGACGGCGGAATTCATGCTTCATGATTTCTATCTTTTCAGTAGATTTAGAGGTAAAAAATGTGGAAAGTTATAGGATGAGAGAGATTAGGAGCTTGAGGATGATAAAGGAGGTTTGGAAGGGCCATTATAGGGAACATATAAATGAACATGAAATAGACTTTTTTTTTTAAATTGCCACATATAGAACTGAGTTTCCTGTAATATCTCAATAAGCATGATTTATAGAAAATCAAGTCAGATGCTCTCCTGCAACTCAAAGTATGAACAGGAGCAGACAACTTAAAGATGAGGGCTGAGAGTATGTAGAAGATAAAAATACGCTAGAGTGATGTTAGTATCCATACATAACGGACAGATATCTAAAAATTAAGAGATATGAATGGAATATGCACCTAAGAATTTAGCAAAATTGTTCATAATTGGATATACAGTATTATATAGGCTTACAAAAGAACGAGAAAACTCTCCTACATTTTAGTGTACTTGCATTGTGAAGGGAATTAAATGTCCACTTCTTGTAAAAGAATTCTTCATGTACGATAATTTATATGAAGCATGATTTTTAATTAGTTCTCATATTTGGTGGGGATGCATATGATATCTTATGAGCAGTTTAGCTTGGAAATTTTTGTTAATTGCCCTAGGCCATCACTTATTTCTTTTTCTTAGTAGGAAAGGTGAAGAGAACCAATCTTTCTGCAGAACCAAGTCAGCTGCTGTGTTAGGTACTTTACATATGTTATCTCATTAATCCTCCTAATAGCCCGCTAAGATAGGTGTTACTGTCAGTAATTTACAGCTGAGAAAACCAAAGCTCACAGAGGTTAAGTAATTTGCTCAAGATTGTAAAAGAAGTCTGATGCCAAAGCGTATGTTCTTTCCAATAGGACACAGTGCAGAGTTGAATAAGGAGATGTCAAGATGAATTCTGACTTTTTGCTATTGCCAAGGCTTATTGGTTTGTATATGACCTAGCTACAAATATGAACAGATAATTTATCAGTATCTTTATTCTCTCCAGAACACGATTAAGAATTTTGATCAGTCGTGAGGTGCCAAATGCTAATACAAAGATACTATTAGAGAATATAAACCTTCAAAGGGAATAGAGTTTGGTTCAATCATTAACTAGTTGTACTACCTTGGGCAAGCTTCTTAACATCTTTTGTGGCCTGTTTTCACATGTGGCGAAATGACTTCGGACTGGGTGGTTTCTAAGGTCCTATTCGATGCAAGTCATTCATTCATTCAGTAAATATAATGAGATTCTTCTATATATTAGGCACTGTTTTAGGTGCTGGGAATATAGTGGTAAATACAGTTAAGATTTCACGGAATTTACATTCTATAAAATTCTTGCTCTTAAGACAATAATTCTCAAGGTGGTGAGGTGTGGCAAGTGGGACAAATTTTCCAAATCACTTGGGGAATACTTTTTTGAAAGAATACCTGTATTACATCTATAAAATAATAGAAAATATATGTTGGTCTCTGGCACAGAGACCCTCACAGTCCCTGGCACAGAGCTCCTTAAAACCCTTATAATTTCCTCAGTGATAGAGGTGCTAGGAGAATATTTTGTTCCAATATTTAGTTATTTGACTTTAGTTCCTGACAGAGTTCCTAAGACATTTGTAATTTCCAGAGTGATAGGAGCAGCTGACACAGAGCTTCCATATCCCTTGGAATTTCCTGGGTGAGAGGAGCATCTTTTATACCAATGAGGTGATTCTTAGTGGGCTCCTGGATGGGGGCTGCTGGAAAAGGAATTACTAACCTTCATGCCTACGTGACGAAGCCCCCATAAAATTCCCTGAACTATGGAGTCTGGAGAATTTCTGGGGAGGTTTCTGAAGGGTGGCATACCCTGGAGAGGGCATGAAAGCTCTGTGCCCCTTCTCCTATACACTGTGCTATGTGAAGGGAATTAAATGCATCTCTTCCATCATCTGTGTCCTTTATAATAAACCAGTAAAAGTAAGTGTTTCCCCGAGTTTTGTGAGCAGCTCTAGCAAATCAACTGAACTCAAGGAGGGGCTCATGGGAACCCTGATTTATAGCCATGGGTCAGAAGCACAGATCACAACCTGGGGCTTGTGACTAGCATCTGACATGGGAGCAGTATTGCAGGACTGAGCTCTCAACCTGTGAGATCTGACACTATCCCAGACAGATAGTGTCAGAATTTAGTTAAGTTATAAAACACCCAGTTGGTGTCCACTGGAGAATCTCGTGACAGAAGTGTTATGTTGAATGGTGTATGAGAGTAGGGAAAAAAACTCTGGTTTTTCCTATCCCTAATAGCCTCTCAGACTCTCCAGGAAGTACTCTGGGAAGCCAGTGCTATTGTTAAGCCCTTTGGTGTCTTTTATTTAGGTTTGACAGGAAAAAGGTTGAGAATAGTGTTCTAAGTGATACAGCAAATGAAAGAGGTGCCAGTCATATTGCTTTATTTTAAAGTCTGAAGGGAGATTCATTAAAAGAGCCAATTCTAAGCTTAAAGTAAGCTTGAAAGTGCACTTCAGTTAATAATCCCTGATTAATTTAAGCCCTATGAACACTTGTACCAATCATATAACAGAAATATTAGAATGCTTAACTATTCTGTTGGTCTCTCATGCTGTATTCATGTGGCAAAATCGTTTGTTTAAAAACACCACTATCCTTCTGACAATGAGTTTTAATATCTCAGGCCACAGCCAGTTTACTGTATTCAAAAATAAACAAGTAAACAAACATTAGTGATTAACAGCATTTTGGTGATGAAAAGCTGTGTGTATGTATTATTCTTTCATGTTCTGAGAATCAAAACAAAATCTGAAATGTTAGAAAGTTATAAAAAATTTATTTTTACTCCCCCCAAATCTAACAGTTATAACTAAAGTTTATGCTATTGTAAACAAAATTACCATAGAAATGTATATGACTTGAAAATTTTAAAAAAAATTGTCAATCATAGAACGTTTTATTTTAAACTTGCTGTTCAAACTTTCAAATACAACACATGTGGCAAAGAAAACAGTTAACACACATCTGCCACAGTTCTATTTTTTGAACTGCCTTCTCTATATTATGCGGTATGTTACAATTTCTTTCAATTTTGTACATTCATGGTATTCTTACAGGCAGCAATGTCAGTTTTTCTGCTTTGAAAATAGTTCAGTTAATGTTCTGAAATTGCTTAAAATGACAACTTTTTCCTTTTAGTATTCTACTGCTGCCCACATTAATGACATAATTCAACATATTGTTAATAAGTTGTTGAGAGGTATACTATACTTAATAAGTCAACTCCCAACTCTAAGTTAAATTGAACTTCAATCTAAAACAAGCATTTTTCTAAACTATTACACTCAGCTACTTTTCTCAAAAATATTTCCATATTTCCATTCTGACATAAGGTTTTTTGTGTGAGATACAATAGTTTCATATTTTATTCCTAACAGAACTCATGCTGTACTTTTTTTCTCAAAATATATTTGATATATTCTGTGCAAAATGTTAAGTTCTTTATAGGTATGTACCTTATTTTGAAAAACTTTATAAAATATAATTCCTAAAAACAACCTCAACATTAGACAATAGAGGAGGAAGAAACGTATCAGACAAAGCCTAATTTTTCACAAGAGAAAGTAAGTATGTTCTTAAAGCTCCAGTATTACATTCCTTGAAAAAACTCAGAATGCACTTTGGTCATTATTAAACACATTACAACACAGGCAAATAAAACAAAATGCTTTCTGTTGTTTGCTAGAGGAAGAAACTACATTACACAATGAGGCTGAATTGAGACTGATGGAAAGGAATGGTAAGAGCAAAGTGATATGACATGGCTCTGTTCTCCACACATTCCTGATTTTAACATTATG